ATACCTTAACTTGGTTGGCAGTCAAATAATCCTTACTCACTTTTTCAACAGGCTCACCAAAAACAATAGATTTATCAGCACAATTCAAAAGGACATGATTGGAAGATAACCAGTCCATACCCAGAATAACATCTAGCTGACTTAGAGGCAAACAAATTAAGTCAACCATGAAATCTCTACCATCAATAATCAAAGGACACTTTAAACAGACATTAGAAGTAGACACTGAATCGCTAGGGAGAAATACTTTCCCAGAGATGTGAGACATAAGAAACAAGTAGAATTCCTTGAATTGAAGCAAGGAGAGGATTCTGTGGCTGAGTATGTGACTAAGTTTGAAGACATAGTCAGATTTTGTCCTATGTATGATGGTGTGGGCAATGTGGAGGACAAATGTGTGAAGTTTGTGAGTGGTCTTCGCCCTGAGATTAAACAAGTTTTGAATTATCAAGGGATCGCTCACTATCATGAATTGGTAAACAAGTTCCGAGTATATGATGAGGACAACCGTGCTAGGGCATCTGGTGGCAAGGTGCTTTGCAAAGAATGATAGCTGTGGGTACCCTAGTGAACTGGGAGAATTTCAAGCAGTTATTCTTGGAGAAATACTTTCCCAGAGATGTGAGACATAAGAAACAAGTAGAATTCCTTGAATTGAAGCAAGGAGAGGATTCTGTGGCTGAGTATGTGACTAAGTTTGAAGACATAGTCAGATTTTGTCCTATGTATGATGGTGTGGGCAATGTGGAGGACAAATGTGTGAAGTTTGTGAGTGGTCTTCGCCCTGAGATTAAACAAGTTTTGAATTATCAAGGGATCGCTCACTATCATGAATTGGTAAACAAGTTCCGAGTATATGATGAGGACAACCGTGCTAGGGTAACTCATTATAAGAGTGGAGGACCCATGAGGAATAATAAGTTTGGGTCATCTAGTAAGGGTAAACCTTACACCAAGTCTGCCGGGAATTCAAGTTCCAAAGTGAATAATCAAGATTTTGTGCAACAAAGGAGTCAAGCTAGCCAAATGTCTAAAGGAAGGAGTGTGAGTTCTATTCCACACAACAACTGCTTCAACTGTGGGAAGCCAGGGCATAGGGCAATTGAGTGTCGGATACCAAGAGCAATAACATGTTACAACTGTCAACAGAAGGGACACAAAGCTAATGAATGCCCCAATAACAAGAAAGGAACATCAGAGGTTGGAGGGAGCGCTAGTAAACCTCGAGCGACAGGAAGAGTGTTTGCCTTGAGTGGTGCTGAAGCTTCGCAATCCAAAGACTTAATCCAGGGTATGTGTTTCATCAATGGAACTCCTCTAATTGTTTTGTATGACTCTGGTGCGACTCACTCTTTTATATCACATGCGTGTGTGTCCAAATTAAAATTACCTGTTTCTTCCTTGTCTTTTGCATTAATAGTAGAGACACCAACTAGCGATTCAGTGTCTACTTCTAATGTCTGTTTAAAGTGTCCTTT